AAAAAAATATATATATATATATATATATATATATATATATATATATATATATATATATATGTATATATACATACATTCATTTTGTTGGATGGAGTGTTTCCAATACTTTTGCTGTTCATGCTTCTGCTGCCCAGATTTTGGTCATTTGCCCCGACGACAATTGTTTTGGGCGGCTTTTATTGTTGTCCTTCATGCTATGTGCCGTCGTTTGCTTTCTGCAACAAATTCTGGCAACGTGCCTTGAATTACAATTATTCGCCAGCTTTCGCTCGCTCGCCAGCTCCATTCGAACGAGCTGCTCCATTATGATTTTACATTTTATTTTCCGAAATTTAGCATTTCGTTGCTTATTCGATTCGCATTATAGTGGGCTCGGCCTCTGCATCTGCATACTGTACTTCAACGCCACTTGTTATCAACTTTTAATGGTATTTGGGCTGGCTGTACGAAACTTTTCTGATGCCACGACCATGGCCTGGGGGCACTGCATATATCTCAGGGCTGTACTAAAATGATGTTTGCTGTGTACATTAATCGCCAGATTGAAATTATGCCTTGTGATATATATTTGTATATATATATATATATATGTGTGTGTGTGTGTAGATGACAAAGATTTGAAAAGTTTTTCATAATATTGCTGTAGCAGACGTTCCATTTCATCTTCTTGATATTTTTTTACTATTAAGGATTATTTTCTCTTCTGCTCTAGAGTTTTTTCGTCATTTATAGAAAGAAAGGAAAATTTCAGATATTTTCACTTGTCCATGTGGCAAATGAAGTGGATTGGTTTTGTCGCATGTCTGTCTGTCCGTTATTAAAGAATCTTGGCTTTTATTGTCATTATTATCATGAAAATTGTTTGTAAACGAACACTTGAGATGTGGTATATGAAGTGAGGGGAGTAGAGGGTAGAAAACAAGGGCAAAGCTAAGTGCTAAGTACTTTGCGTTTTTTTTCGATAATTGGACATTAATTTAGTTTAATTTTTCTCTTTTTATTTTGTATTCCTATTTGATTTTTATTTATTATGTTTTTATATATTTTATGTTTATATTTATTTTTTTTTAGTTTTGTTTCGGGCATATCATTGCTGGGCACATCAACGGAGATTTATGTGTATGGTACGCAATATGCGTTCATATTAGTTACGCTGGCCATATCGGGAGTCATATCGTGGTATATCTTCCTGCCCGTCTTCTGCAATCTACAATTGACCTCCACATATGAGGTAAGTTGAGCGTTATCTGATATGTCTTTACCTGTAATATGTATATATATCTGCTCTCTAATTACACTAAATATAAATGCTTAAAATATACATACACATTGCTACAAAATTAATGTTCTCTGTGTTGAATTCGGAAAATCATTTGGACAGAATTCTTAGTTTGCCAAGGTGTTGAGACTTCGGCTTGCTGAAGATGATTTTCTATTATATGTCAAAGTGATCTGAAAGCATGTTATATCATAAATATGTGTTGCATCCTAAATTTTTCTGTTGAATTGTGCCGAAATTCGCATGTCAATATGTAATATGTGTTAGTGAATTATGAGTAAATTGTCGATACACGATTATATTTCTAAATAAGCAATCGCTATACGAAAGTCGGGTTAGTCAGTTATTGTCGAAGTAGACAACATCAATGGTATTTTGTGGAACAAAACATTGACCAGTGTCGAAAACAAATGGGCGTTAAAGCTATTGATGAGTCGGAGCATTGTTGTTGGGCCTTGTTGCTGTCGTGTCAAGTGAAATATTTATGTGTGTTTGCCAGCAAATTGCAAATAGGAGCACAGAGACTCGTTGCTGTGCTCAACATCCAATTGTTGTTTGTTGCCAGCAATGGCCAACAACGGCCTGCTGACGGCTATGTGGTGGTGGCTCAAAGGCTATCTCAGATATCGGCTACACGGCGTATGCGTAATATTCGATTATGTATGCGTTGCCTTGCGTTGCGTTGCGTTGCGCTGTGTGTGTGCTCGTTTTTATTATGTGTTTTGTAAACGTGAACGTTGGGACTGTCCGAATCGAAAGATGCCAAAATACCAAATCAAATAAATGCTTACAGTACTTCGAGCTGCGCTTCAACAGAACAACTCGTGTAGTTGCCTCGGTGCTCTTTAGCATAACCACAGTAAGTACCAAGCGGTAGACGCAACACAGATACAACTACACTCACACACACACACACACACACACACACACAGATACAAATAACCAATTATCATCGTCTAGCTAATCTGGCTGCCTATCGTCATCTATGTGCCAGCGCTGGCCTTTAATCAGGGTAGGTTTTCAATCAGATCCACTGGAGTTTGTTTCAATTGTTGCGCTCTCCGTTCACAGTGACGGGCGTAAATGTTCATGTAATTACGCCGGCGGTGTGTATTATTTGCATATTTTACACCACGGTTGGCGGCTTGAAGGCTGTCGTCTGGACGGATGTTATTCAAACCATAATTATGGTGGGCGCCATAATTATCGTTGTCGTCAAGGGCACCCTGAATGCGGGCGGCCTGGGCGCGGTCATCCAAAGGAATCTGGATACTGGACGCCTCGAATGGCCCGAGTAAGTGATCATCAATGTGCTGAGCATTTGATTTTAAATACTTTTCATCATATTTCGATACACTGAATTAAAAGGGGTTTCTTTCAAAGGGGTTTCTTTTCAGGCAGTAGGAGCCATCTGTCCGTTTGTACGTGTCGATCCTAGAAGCTATAAGAACTAAAGACTTGCAATTTTATGTTTGAAAAAATCAATAATTCCTTTCATTACTTTGTTATCGATTAAAATCCTTATCGAAAAGCAATTAGATCTCTTATACCTTTAGAGCTACTGTGATTTATTGAAACATCGATTCCTTGAAGCGGTCAGGGGATCGCCTAATTGAGTAGTCTCGATTATATTTATTTTATATTTATATTTTACATATATTTTCACATATCAAATAGATGGACATTCGATCCGAAGACCCGCATGTCCGTCTTCGCCCTGTTCGTGGGCTACACAGCCCATTCGACGTACAACATCGGCTGCAATCAGATCATCACCCAGCGACTGCTGTCGCTGCCCAGCGTGAGGGCAATGGGGCAGAGCACATTGCTGTTTGGGTTCGGTGTGATCATCCTGACGTCACTGACCTTGTATAATGGCCTGCTGCTGTTCGCCACGTACCACGACTGCGATCCGCTGACCACGAAGGTAGGTGTCCCGTGAGTACTCCTGTTGCAATGCTGAGCGTAATTGTGATTGACTGGCAGCTAGCCAAGGCAAAGGATCAGCTGGTGCCGCTGCTGGTCATGGACACGCTGGGCGCATATCCGGGCGTGTGCGGCATGTTTGTGGCTGGCGTGTTTAGTGCCTCGCTCAGCTCGCTGTCCACGGCGCTCAACTCGATGGCCGCCGTCCTGCTGGAGGACTACATCAAGCCGCTCTGCAAGCGGCCCCTGACGGAGCGCCAGACGGCCATCACGATGCGGCTCTGCACCGTTACCATTGGCACCCTGAGCACCGTCCTGGTGTTCGGCGTGGAGCGCATGGGCACGCATGTGATGCAGCTGTTCATGATACTGAGCTCGGTGACGCAGGGTCCGCTGTTTGCGCTCTTTGTGATGGGCATGCTCTGCCCGCGCCTAAACTCAAAAGTGTGTATTCCGTTCAGTTGAGGGATGTGTGGATATGTTTCATTCATAGCTTGTATATCTGGCCTTGCAGAGTGCTCTGACTGGCGCCCTGTGCTCCTTCGTCTTCATGACCTGGCTGTGCATCAACGCCCAGCTGGCCGCCCTCTCGGGTGAGCTGCACTACGAGCCGAAGCCGGTGAGCGTCGAGGGCTGCACCTACGGGTACGACGCGCCGGACGTGACTCTCGCAAATGCCACATTGACTGCCACGGAGCCGGCGTGAGTTACGGCTTGAGCTGCTCTCGGTTGTTCAGTTAGTAATTTCTTTCTTGAAAAAAGTTCGCTCAGCTTTTTCCAGCAGATCTACTACACATCCTTCATGAGCTATACTTTGTTCGCCTCTCTTGTGGGCATCCTGGCTGGCCTGCTGTCGAGCCTCGTCTTTGGACGGCTGAAACTGGAGCAAGTGGACGTGGAGCTGCTGGCGCCCTGCATGCGGCGATTCTATAAGAGCAAATACGCCAGCGTGGAGCTTAATGATTCCGCATTAAAGTCTGCCTAAAGAACATAAAATGTGCTTACGACTTAAGACTTAAGCAATAAAAATTTTGATTAAGTATACGCCGTGTTTGACTGCAAGTTTTATTGGACTCTAATCTTGTAATGTGACATGTATCTCATATACATATATGTTTGTATAAGTGTTCTGTTTTTCTGGTTTTAGGACTGTCACTAACATGCATCATGCGCACTGACTCGTTACTAAAAATCTTGTAAATATTTGGGTTGTTGCTGCATTCATTTTTACCAATAAGCGTTTCGTAATGCTCATTAGATAATTAACATATGATTTCTAGTACTTTAAGCTGCGCTACGGCAGCAGCATTCGAAACTTCGGAGCTGTGCTCTTCGTCATCGGCATGGTAAGCATCATTCAAATAGATCGGAATTCATATTGAACAATGTTTCACGCAGTTGCTGTGGCTGCCTGTGGCCCTGTATGTGCCTGCCATCACCTACAATCAAGGTGAGTTTTCTCACACGGCCGCTGGCTTCGAAGCTAAAGTTCAACAATTTCAGTGACTGGCACGAGCATCCATGTCATCACGCCCATTGTTTGCATTATTTGCACTTTCTACACGTGTGTGGTGAGATTTAATTAAAACACGGCCTGCTTGGCATTCGCTCACACACAAAGTGCCGCAATTTCAGGGCGGCCTCAAGGCGGTGATTTGGACAGATGTCATCCAGAGCTTTGTCATGTACGGATCCATTTTGGCGGTGTGCATCAAAGGCACCTACGATGTGGGCGGCCTGGGCGTGGTCTTGCAGCGAAATGAGGACAGCGGACGTATCAATGCGCCGGAGTAATCATTGCATTTGGCTTACATTGCGAATTTCTTTGAGCACTCTGCTTATTTACAGGTGGACCTGGGATCCCACCGTGCGGCTGTCTATGGTCTCTGTGATAGTGGGCGGCACTCTGCACAAAATACAATCATCGGATGTCAATCAAGTGTCAATCCAGCGCTTTCTCTCCCTGCCCAGCTACAAGCATGCCAAGCAGTGCATGTTCCTCTATACCGTGCTCCTCATATTCCTGCTGAGCTGCTGCAGCTACATGGGCCTGGTCACCTATGCCGTCTACCAGGACTGTGATCCCATTAGCACCGGGGTGAGTCTTTGATACACTTGCCTTAACTGCATGCACAGTTAGGTGGTTCATTAGCAAAGAGAGAGAATTGGCATATTGGTTTTATGCAATCTCCGCATTGGTATGAATACATGTCCTCATTGGTGGCAACTCCATCTAGTTTTTATGTAACCCCTTTTAATGACCTCTCTGCAGCTTGCCAAGGCCAGCGATCAGCTGCCTTCGCTGCTGATGATGCGCACCTTGGGATCGTTTCCCGGTCTGCCTGGGCTGTTTGTGGCTGGCGTTTTCAGCGCTGCGTTGAGCTCGCTGTCCACGGGACTCAACTCGATGGCGTGCGTGATCTCACAGGATGTGGTGCGTCCGCTGCTGAAGAAGCCGTTGACGGAACGGCAAACCGCTTTGCTGCTGCGCGCCATCGTCGTCTTCTTCGGCCTGAGCTGCATGGGTCTGGTCAATGTGGTGGAGAAGCTGGGCATGGTGCTGCAGCTGGCCACCACCACCTCGGCTGTGTCCATGGGGCCGCTGCTGGGTATCTATGCCATGGGCGTGTGCCTGCCCTGGGTGAATGCCAAAGTTAGCTTCGCCTCAATTGCATTAAGCAAGGACTCAACTAACGCAAGGCCTTCTTCCAGAGCGTCATGACCGGCAGTCTGGTGTCCTTTGTTGCTCTGGGCTGGATCTGCATCAAGGGTCAGCTCGCGCAAATGCAGGGCGAGATTCGGTATCCCAAGATGCCAGTCTCAGTCTCGGGCTGTGATTACGCCTATGACAATGCGACCGTCTGGCGCACTCTGCATGAGTACAGGTAAGTATGAGAAAGCTACCTACCAAGCTTATAAAATATAGTCCTTGTTCCATTCGCAGTCCCTCAACAGATCGCAACATATATCACTTGTCGTTCTTCTGGTACACTGCGCTGGGCGGACTTATTTGCACTGTGGTCGCCCTGCTGGCGAGCCTCGTCTTCGGCTGGCAGGATGTGTCTGAAATGGATCCGGCTCTGGTCACGCCTTGCATGCGTCGCTTCCTGCCCAAGAAACAATATGAGGCTGTCGATCTCGAGGAGCTCTTTAGGCGCAAGGCGGAGAAGCCTTGAACCGAGATTTCAATAAAAGCTACCTGCTAATAAACTGTTGTTATGATATTCCAAAACAGTTTTTTATTTCCCATTAAATTAATTATCATTTTAATTTATGTTCGCTTTTAACATAATTGTGTTTTAATTTGATGTTGTTTTTATTTATTTTTGATTTAATTAACTACCTTCAAAGCATTATCATTTGCTTTCATTTTTTTTTTTTATTATTGCTCCTCTTTGTATCCTTGCTCTGCACTGCAGTACTTTGAGAGACGCTTCGATCGACGTATTCGCATCTTTGGATCCTGCCTATTCGTGCTGATGAATGTGAGTGCTCCGATTGAGTGTTTCGACTGAATCTAATAATCGATAATTATATTATTATTATTATTATTATTACTATTATTTTATTTTTATTTTTACAGATACTTTGGCAACCGATATGCATTTATGTGCCTGCTCTAACATTGAACCAAGGTGAGTTTTTATCATATTTAATGCTTCATCAATAGGAGCTCAGCTATACATTATAGATATTATATCATTTATTTTATATATAATATTATACCTAGTGGAATTAGGTTATAATGACGTTGAGGGGGCTGTCGTTATACCCGGAAGACGCTATAAGCATTTAATTTTGCTCACATTTCGTTTTTTCGTCACAATAACCGTACCGGATTCTATTTTATTATATAATTGCCTTTTCTCTATTTTCAGTTTCTGGCATCAGTATCCATATGATCGTGCCCTTAACCAGTTTGATATGCATTCTCTATACGAGCATAGTAAGAATTCAGAACTCATATGAATGCATTTCCATTGCTGACATTTCTAATTATCCAGGGCGGCATTAAGGGCGTCGTTTGGACAGATGTCATACAAGGAGCTGTGATGATTGGGGCCATGGGCTTTGTCATAGTCAAGGGCACTGCGGACTTGGGTGGTTTGGCGGTGGTGCTGGAGCGCAATCGTCAATTCGAGCGCCTGGTGGGTCCCGAGTAAGTTGTTCTTTACTAACCTCGTATTCTCCTCAAATGTCTTGCACTTCCCTAATTCGCCAGCATGACACTTGATCCGACGGCTCGCATGGGCGTGTGGGCCTTGTTTATTGGCGGCGCCTTCTTTAAGCTGCAGGCCAATTGCATTAACCAGACGGCAGTCCAGCGCTTTATGACCTTGCCCAACGTGCGGGCCGTTAAGCAGGCGCTGGTATTGTCGCTGATAGGCTTCATGCTTGTCATGGCCATGTGCATCTATCTCGGCGTGCTCGCCTTTGCCGCCTACTACCATTGTGATCCCATCACCACGGGTGTGAGTTTTCCCCTTCCACTACATTTATTTTTATTGTTAATAGGCGCTGTCATACTTTTATAAGTATAGGTTAAGCTGTCATCGCATCCATTAATCATCGGCTCCCATTCCCCTTTGCAGCTGGCACGTGCCAAGGATCAGGTGATACCCTTGTATGTGATGCAAAGCGCTGGGATGGTGCCCGGCATTGTGGGTCTGTTTGTCGCCGGCGTGTTTAGTGCCGCACTCAGCTCGCTCTCCACCGCACTCAATTCACTGTCGGCGGTGGTGCTGAAGGACTTTGTCGAGCCCCATCGCAGCCGCCCTCTGACCGAGCGCCAGACTGCCTTTGTGCTGAGAGGCGTGGTCGTCGTGTTTGGGCTCATCTCAATGGCGAGTGTGCCCATTGTGCAGAAATTGGGCATGGTCATGCAGCTATCGTCCACAGTGGCCGCCATCACCTGTGGCCCCCTGCTCGGCGCCTTCTCAGTGGGCATGCTGCTGCCGTTCGTTCGCACAGAGGTTCGACTCGGCTCCTGCCAGTGGACGACCTAGCCAATGACGGCTCCATTTATGTTTCTATTGCAGAGTTTGTTAACGGGCATTTCGATGGCCACCAGCTTCACAGCTTATGTCGTTGTGCGGGCCCAGATTGCCATGGCCACCGGCCAGATGACTTTCCCCACGAAACCCGTTTCCGTGGAGGAGTGCGACTACAGCTCCGAGCTGCGCTCCAACTGGAATGCAACGACCAGCGCGTATGTCTCTCGTTCGCCAGCCCAAATATGTTATATTCCTAACATTTCAGTTTGTATTTATAGATCGCCCGCCGAGGCCAAGAGTCGCAGCCTGCATGAGCTCTCGTTCCTGTGGTACACCATGATTGGCTCTGTGGGCACGCTGCTCTGCTCGCTGCTGGCCACGCTCTACTTTGGCAAGCAGGATGTGCGGCTGGTCGACAAGGAGCTGGTTACGCCCATTTTGCAGAGCTATTGGTATGGAGCGTACGAGAGTGTGGCCGGCGATGATGCGGAAGCCAAGCAGCTGGAGCTGCACGAGTCCTCGACCCAGCCTAAGCTGGACCCAAGCCCAAACCGATTTGATTGATTAATAAATGTTGTTGCAAACAGCCGTGACCCTTGTAGTTTTGCATTAACCTTAAGCTCTGTTCTGTGGCGTATTTAAATTTAGATTGTTTTCAGCTGGTTACCTTGACTGGGCTGCCAATACATACATAGATACTTATACACACTCACTCTTTCAGTACTTTGAGAGACGTTTCAGCAGGCGAATGCGTTTATTTGGGGCCTCGCTCTTTGTGCTCAAGGCGGTAAGTGAATGCCCATGGAAAGACAGTCCCTGACATAAATATATAACCAAGGTATTCTTGCGCTCTCCAGATCGTTTGGCTGCCCATCGCTGTGTACGTGCCGGCGCTGACCTTCAACCAAGTCACTGGCATTGGCGTGCACACCATAACCCCGATTGTGATTATCATTTGCACCTTCTACACGACGGTCGGCGGCATCAAGGGCGTTGTCTGGACAGACGCCGTGCAGAGTGTGATCATGTACGGCACCCTGGTGGTCATCATGATCAAGGGCACCATAGACGTGGGCGGATTCGGCGTGCTCTGGCAGCGCAACTTGGACGGCGGACGCCTCAATACGCCCGAGTGAGTCGTGCGAAAGTGAATCCAACTCCTTGAGACAATTTATGAATGTGTGATTGTTTTATATATAGATATAGCCTGGATCCCACGGTGCGTATGAGCGTCTTTTCGGTTTTCGTTGGCGGCACGTTTTTCAAGCTGCAGAACACGTCGATCAATCAGGCGACCATTCAACGCTTTATGTCGCTGCCCTCCCTGAAGCACATCAAGCAAACATTGTTCACCTTTAGCATCGGCTTGACCCTGCTCTATATGGGCTGCATCTATGTGGGCCTCGTGTGCTATGCCGTGTATTATGACTGCGATCCGATGGCCACGGGAGTGAGTTCGACATGTAGCTCCTTGAGAGTTCCGTCTTACAATTTGCCCTTTACTCATCTCTGCAGCTGGCTGGACGCCGGGATCAGCTCGTGCCACTTCTGGTGATGCGAGTGCTGGGCGTTGTGCCCGGCCTGCCGGGTCTCTTTGTGTCGGCCGTGTTCAGTGCCGCGCTCAGCTCGCTCTCAACGCTTCTCAACTCATTGGCAGCCGTCATACTCGAAGACTTTGTGAAGCCGCGCATGAGAACGATCAAGAGGCCCATGACGGAGCGCACTGTAGCCCTGACTATGCGTCTGGTGGTGGTCGTCTTTGGCATTAGTTCCATATTCATGGTCTACGTGGTTGAGCATCTGGGCATGGTGCTGCAGCTGTCAGCCTCGCTGCAGTCCAGCCTCTACGGTCCCATGCTGGGTATCTTCACGGTGGGCATGCTAATGCCCTGGGTGGGAGAGAAGGTTTGTTCACATCAACTGCAATTAAGAATGTTTCCATTTGAATTTGTATACATTTTCAGAGCATGTTTGTGAGCAGCATCGTATCCTTTGCTATCATGGCTTGGATTGTGGTCAATGCACAAATAGAAAATCTCACGGGCTCCTTCCGTCATACGAAGCTGCCAGTTTCCGTGGAGAACTGCACCTACGACTTCGACATGAACCGTTATCTGAACTCGACAGCAGAAGTGTAAGTGTTTTAGAATATTTTTTATTTTATATTTTATATTTTTTTTTATGTTTTATATTTTATATTTTATATTTTATATTTTATATTTTATATTTTAT